TGAGAAAGCTTCAACTGCTTCACTGGGCAGGGAATTCCACAGATTCACAATCCTTTGGGTGAAGAAGTTCCTCCTCAATTCAGTCCTAAATCTGGTCCCCCTAATTTTGAGGCTATGCCTTCTTGATCTAGTTTCACTCGCCACTGGAAACAACCTCCCTGCTTCTATCTTATCTATTCCCTTCATAATTTTATATGCTTCTATAAGATTCCCCCTCATTCTTCTAAATTGCAATGAATGTAATCCCAGTCTATTCAGCCTCTCCTGAGAAGCCAACCCTCTCAACTCTGGAATCAACTTCGTGAATCTCCTCTGCACCCCCACCAGTGCCAGTACATCCTTTCTCAAGTAAGGAGACCAAAACTATACACAGTACTCCAGATGTGACCTCACCAGCACCCTATACAGCTGCACCATTACCTCTCTGCTTTTAAACTCCATCCCTCTAGCAATGAAAGACAAAATTCCATTTGCCTCCCTAATTACCTGTTGTACCTGCAAACCAACCTTTTTCGATTCATGCACATGGACACCAGGTCCCCCTGCACAGCAGCATGCTGCAATTTTTTATTGTTCAAGTAATAGTCCTTTTTACTGTTATTCCTACCAAAATGGATGACTTCACATTTATCAACATTGAATTCCATCTGCCAGACCTTTGCCCACTCACTTAAACTATCTACATCCCTCTGCAAACTTTGAGTCCTCTGCATGCTTTGCTCTACCACTCATCTTAGTGTAATCCGCAAACTTTGACACTCTGCACACAGCCCCCAACTCCAAATTATCTGTATAAATTATAAACAATTGTGGTCCCACCACTGATCCCTTAGGCACACCACTAGTCACTGTTCACCAACCAGAAAAGCACTCATTCATTCTCACTCTTTGCTTCCTGTTAGTTAACCAATCTTCGATCCATGCTAATACAACGCCTGTAACGCCATGCACCTTTATCTAGTGCAACAGCCTTTTGTGCAGCACCTTATCAAATGCCTTTTGGGAATCCAGATAGACCACATCTACTGGATCCCTGTTGTCCACCGCACTGTAATGTCTTCGTACAATTCTAGAAAATTAGTCAAGGCTGATCTACCTTTCATGAACCTGTGCTGTGTCTGCCCAATGGGGCAATTTCTATCTAGATATCTTGCTATTTCTTCCTTAATGATAGATTCAAGCATTTTTAGCACAGAAGTTAAGCTAACCGGTCTATAATACATTGTCTTTTGTCTACCTCCTTTTTTGAGCAGTGGCATCACATTGGCTGTTTTCCAATCTGCTGGAACGGCACCAGAGTCCAGCGAATTTTGGAAAATTACCACGATTGCATTTGCTATAACTCCCTCCATCTCTTTTATCATCCTGGGATGCATTCCACCAGGGCCAGGAGACTTGTCTTATCTTTAGCATCATTAGCTTGCCCAACCCTACCTATTTCGTGATAATGATTGTGTCTAGGTCCTCACCTACCTTAGTCTATTTGTCATCAATTACTGGCAAGTTATTTGTGTTCTCCACTGTGAAGACCGACACAAAATACCTGTTCAATGCCTCAGCTATTTCCTCATTTCCTGTTACTAAATCCCCCTTCTCATCCTCTAAAGGACCAATGTTTACCTTAGCCACTCTTTTTCGATTTATATATTTATAGAAACTTCTGTTCTCTTTCTTTATATTCTGAACTAGTTTAGTCTCGTAATCTCTTACTTTTCTTTATACCCTTTTTTATGATTTTCTGTTGACCTTTACCGTTTTCCCAATCTTCTAGTTTCCCACTGATTTTTGACACTTTGTACGCCTCATCTTTCAATTTGATAGCCTCCCTTATTTCCTTAGTTATCCATGGCTGATTACCCATTTTCTTACAGTCCTTCCCTTTCACTGGTATACGCTTTTACTGAGCACTTTGAAAAATTACTTTGAAAGTCCTCCACTGTTCCTCAACTGTCCCATCATATAGTCTTTGCTTCTATTCTACTTTAGCCAACTCGTCCCTCATCCTATTGTAGTCTCCTTTGTTTAAGCACAGGGACTTGGTATTGGATTTTACCTTCTCACTTTCCAGCTGTATTCTAAATTCAACCATACTGTGATTGCTCCTTCCTGAGACAATCCCTAACTATAAGATCATTAATTATCCTCAACTCATTACACAGGATCAGGTCTAGGATAGCTTCCAACCTCATCGGTTCTATTACATACTGTCCAACGAGGCTATTGTGAATATATCCAACAAATCCTCAAGGCTGACTTGGCCGACCTGGTTCAATCAATCGACATGTAGATGCCTTCCTCTATGCCTTCTGCCTGTGCATCCAAATTTCTTGAGTTCTTAATAGACAACTTTTTCCCTAGCTAACCATTTGCACTTCCTGTTCACAAAAGTCTTTAGGGTTTATTTTAATATTGCCTGTATTAACATTATTATTGTTGCACATTATTATCTCTTGACCTCTCTCTGTCTCCTATACTAACATCTCCAGTTCCAGGCTTTGCATAATCTTCTGCAGGCTCCTTTCAGTGTTCAGTTTTAATTTCATTTCCTTTTTTATCCAGGGTATGTGACCTTGGAAAATGCTACCCTTTCTCTGGAAAGGGAAGTGCCTAGCTTGTGCCTGAGCTCCGTCTCCCCAGAACTCAAGAACAAGGTTCTACTCATGTTAAATAGAAAAAGGTTATGGTAACTTGTTATCCAATTTCCCACCACCATCCCGACCCCACATTCCCTCCATCAATATCCTTGAGAATCTAGCATGGTTGAGGGAAGAAAGTGCTGTGAATCTCACTGGAGAAGCATTTGACTTTGATCTTGGACTGGGGGTGGAATCTTTATTGCTGTGGGGAGAGTACTGGGTCTGAAGGTGCTCCTGTAGTGGCTACTCTGAAGCTCAGTGCCAGAGTGTAGGAAGCCTAGAAGCAGGTCTCTAGTTCTCCAGATAACTTAGTAATGTGGGCCATACTGGCAACCTCAAGCTTCACCAGTTCTCGGGTCACTACCAAGGAGCTATCTATCTCTGTGTGGGAGTGGCTTCTACTCAGTTGTGTTGTGTCCTCCATTTCACCTATTCAGCCGATCTCTGACTGTCTGTCTTTCTTTCCTGCTTGCAATGCATCTTGGGTTGTAGAGTTATGGAACAAGCACCAGGATATGAGAAAACAAAAAGCTTTGGAGAAACAGAGTAAGGACTTTGACAACTCAGCCCTGTCGTACAAAGTACTTTCTACTTTTAGAGCTAGACACCCTAGCTGTGTCTTCTGTTTGAATCACAGTCCTTTGCAATCTGTGCCTTAGACTCGTCGTCCCTCACCTATGGATATGCTATTGGGTTTGCGTGTGTGTCTCTCTCGCTCTCGCTCCCTCTCCCCTCCTCTATTTCTTTCTCCAGATCACTCTCTTCACCTCAACCCCTCGCCCATGCTCTCTTTCCCACCCTTCTCCCTGCCTCCCTCCCTCTTGCACTGTCTCACCAAATGAACCTGCGGGTGCAGGTGTGAGGGAGTGCGTGGGGAGTGAGCTCGTTGCTGTGTAGTCGCAACGCATGCTTGCGTACAAGCTTGCTGATTGGTCCTTTGGCCTGAAGTCCACCCAGCAAGTGACCAATGTGCTCAGGTTGAGTTCAGCTCTTTGTCTTCCATTGCTGCCCTTTGAACCCATTGACATCGGTGTCTTGGGTTGTGGGATGCTACCCAAAATGATTTGGAATCGGGCTTTCATTTTTACACATTACATTGCAGGGCATTTGTAGCCACCGCTTACTGAAGAGTGGGTAAATTGGAAACCGGGAATTGTCCAAGTATCTCTATGTGCCGGCTGGTGTCTGTGGCAAGACCATTCAACACCTCCAGCTTCAGAGAATGCAGTGATCATCCAGAGCAAATAATGGCCAAAAATTGCTGCTGAAGGGTGATGACAGGCCATACATAGAGTGATGTTATCAGCAATGGTTTCACACTGAAGGACATGAGAACAGGGAGTGCTTTCCCTTTTAAAGAGGAATATGAAAGAGTGCAGAAGCAATTTACATGAATGGTTCCAGGTTGAGAAACTTCAGTTATCAGGATAAATTGAAGAAGTTGGGGAAGTTAGAGAGAAGAGATCTGGCTGACGCTTTCAAAATCATGAGCTGGCTGGGCAGAGTAGATAGGGAGTAGCTACTTACCCTTATAAAAGGAAAAGAATGAGAGGGCATAGATTTAAAATGATGTACAAATGGAGCAAGAGTGAGGGGAAAACTTTTTCACAGTGAGCTATTAGGATATGCAATGCACTGCCTGGAAATTGAGGCATTCAAGGGTATTGAATATTTTTTGGATAATGGTGTACAAGGATGTGGAGAAGGGCAGGAGATTGGCAGAAGGTAATAGAGCAGATTGCAGGCATGGTGGACTGAATAGTCTCCCTTAGCACTGTAATAATTCTGAGATTCTGAAATGACAGGGATCTGGGACTTGCGGAGACATCTCCAAAGGTGATCCCAGCTGCTTCCAGAGTTGGTCAGTTTGAGTGGAGAAATAAAAACAAACAGACTTTTTTTTTCCTGTGCAGGTTTGGGTGAATTCTTCTAAGTAATGGGGTTTTCGATGACAGGGTTAGTTTGGGTGATTGTGAGTTGTAGGACTGTCATTACTAATAGTTGGGTGGGGGACAGTAAGATTCGGGACTATAATTGGCAGGTGTGGCTAGAAGTGAGAGGTTGTTTACTGATTTCGATTTTGTGTCGTTAAGATTGTAACCTGAGGGGCAGCCTTTCAGATATGAGCCATTGGTGTGAAAACTGAACCATTGAAGAGAGCCTTGGGGAAATGGTTACTGTACCACACCAGCGTATCCCTTTCCAACCTGTAGCACTGGAACACAAATAGCTTTAGTCTCTGGTTTCCTGAGAAGCTTTCCCTCCTTGACACTGCAGCGAGAGCTGGAGTGTTGTAACTGATTACAGGTTGCGGTTCGGCCTGGCTCCTCTCCCAAGATGTTCACGTGGGTCTCTTGCCTCCAGGTACTGAGGGCCCCAGACATGCGTCTGACTTGGACCCAGATGAGAAGAAATCGCAAATCAGCGCCGATAGCGGTTTGAGTGCGACCAGCTCGCAGGTTAGTGCTTACTGCTTGTTGGTAACAGAAGTAGCGACCTGTGGTTGCAGTGGTAGATGGGGTACAGGTGATGGGGGATGGAGCTGAGATGGGGAAAGGGTTGCTGGGTTTGGGTGATGAGCCATAGCTGCTGGTGGGAAATGGTCTGGGACAGTGCCAGGCAGAGCCATGCTTGTTTAATGTTCACCGCTGAATGCATTGGTGAATCTGTCATTGACAGTAGCTGTCATTGGCTGTGATACTGAAACAGAATTCAGTGTGGCTGAAGAGTTGGTTTCTTTGTTTAGGTGGCGTTCAGGGGCAGCACGGTGGCTCAGTGGGTTAGGACTGCTGTCTCACAGCACCAGGGACCCGGGTTTGATTCCATCCTCAGGCGACTGTCTGTGTGGAGTTTGCACATTCTCCCCGTGTCTGCGTGGGTTTCCATCGGGTGCTCCAGTTTCCTCCCACAATCCAAAGGTGTGCGGGTTAGGTGGATTGGCCATGCTAAATTGCCCATAGTGTTCAGGGATGTGTAGATTAGTTGTGTTAGCCATGGGCAATGCAGGGTTACAGGGAAAGGGTAGGGGAATGGGTCCGTGTGGAATGCTCTTTGGAGGATCGGTGTGGGCTTGTTGGGCCAAAGTGCCTATTTCCACACTGTAGGGATTCTGTGATCCTATGAGGCGCGTTAGTGAATGATTGAATGCAGGTCTGAAATGCGTTTCTGTTGACAGCTATCTGGCAAGTTGCTGCTTTCTTTAAACATTTTGGAAATATAGCAGTATGCTTATTAAACATTTCAGGTCAGATACAGCTGAAAAGACAGGGAGACAGGATTGCAGAAGCTGTCTCGGACATGAAAGGAGCTAGCAAAGAGCTGCTTCAATCATAAATCAGGAACAGCGTCAAGTTGCATAGGTCTGAGATTTTTTCTTTCTTTACCTTTTGCCCTAAAAGTGTTCCATTCTGTGAGAGACATGCTTTCCAAATTTGGAAAGTGATGAATGATTTTAGATTTGTGAATGTACTTCATGACTTCCATTCTGTCAAGCCACCACTTTTCAAACTTACCCTGAAAACTGGATAGGTTCTACAACAGGAAATGATTCTGCCAGGATGAAGCTTGCCTCAATATTTCCTAGTGGGGGAGGAGAGGGTGATTGAGAAATTTAGAGCCAGGTCTGAGTGCTCCTTCATGGCTTGAATACAGGGAATACAGCAGTGTCCTGTAGCCTTATATTCCTGGCTTGGGCTGCCAACTTCAGACATAATGTGTACAAGGACTAGAAACTGCTGCATAAACATGGATGTTGTGAACATCGGTCCTCTCCTGATTGCTCCATCAGATTAAGACTGATTCAGCTGTCAGCTCAATCAAGCGGTTTTAACGTGAAATTATCTTCCATTTTGGTGTTGCTGTTAATATTCTTTCCTTTATTCTTCTGTCCTCTTGCCTGCTCCTTTCCTGCACTTCCCCTCCTCACCCTCTCGACGGTGCCAGAAGAGTGACAGTGAGTCTATCACCAGCTCCGAGCCGCCTGCACTCACCCGGAGTACCAGCCAGGAGTCAGAAAGCAGCACCGTGGTAGGGCAGTGATAAGCTGGGGCATGCGTGTGGCGCTCCCTGCCTCTCGCGCAGTATCGTAAAACAAACTGTGTCACCCAAAATGGAACCTCACTCCCAACTCCCAGCTAACACAATCCAGATTCATACAGCACAGGACAGAAACTGACCAGCTGCTTAGCAGAAATCCCAAGAATCAATAGTATTTAGCCAAGATACTATGGCATGGGCGGGGCTTTGAGGTATTGCCTATCACTACAAACAATTTCCTTGGGTTTTCCAGCGTGGATTCTGAAGCAAATCAATCTCTCTGCTTAAAGAAGTAACAACATAAACCCTAATGTGTGCTCAACCATGAATTCCACAGGTTTCACATGGGAGGCTGTTGGTTACACCCAAACCTGTGTGGACCTGTGCAAATTATGAGTACAGCAAGAAACTGAGAAATCTTTAGAAAATAAGAATTGTTTGAAGAATGATGGGGTTCTGTATGGATCAGTGTGGGGACCACTATTCGTTCTTAACTCATTAATATAAGACCCATTGATACAATTCCCATCTACATAACTCACATCGAGAATTCGGATTTGAGCCTTCTCTATTTTGATCTATTCATGGGGTGCAGCATTTATTGCCCAAGCTTAATTTCCCTTGAGAAGATGGGAGTGAGCGGCCTTCTTGAACGGCTGCAGTTTTTGAGGTGCAGATGCACCCCTACAGTATATTAGGGAGTGAGTTCCAATGCAGGATGATAACCTCCAACAAGTGAGGCGGTGGGATCCATGGATGGATTTTGGAAGTTACAGAACCCGTGACAATGCAGGAAACTGAAAAATAGTGGGTGCAGGAAGAGAAAAGAATGTAGTCTGTGTACTGTATTGAAATCATACTGATTGTTGAAAACAGTTTGCTGAGGGGCAACACTCTCTTTCCAACCGCCATAGAGCAGTCATCAGTTCAGGCAGTGGGATGTTTAACTGCAGTCATTACAACAATCTGACATAAATTATGGAGCTCTGGTCCCACTTTACAGGACGCTGGTGGGAATGGATTTGAATACTGTGTCCAGTACGTGATCACTGGGACATGAGGAATAAGGGCAATAGAGAGATGACTGACTATAAGGAATGAAAATATGTCTTTGAGGCACTTGAATTTTCCATTACATTAACAGTGATAATATATTGGCATCAAAACCTACAATGACTGTCATGGCAACCTCTTTTTTTTTACATTAGTCCCTTGGATCACAGCACTCTCTTTCCTTCATACGTGCTCCTGTTAAAACAATGGCATTGTCTTTTCCAGGCATATGAATAATTAACATGTAAATTTTCAATTCCTGATTCATTCTTCTCTTGTTCTGATGTTGTTTTACTCCCTATTTCTTTCAAGTAGTAGCACTCGGGTATTGGCTGCCTGTACAATATTCTTAGACCTTATTACTAATTAAACACATTTACCCAGACACTTACTATATGAGACAGACAAAGGTCAGAGGTTCAAACTTAATTTCATTAAACACTTCAAGTTTAGGAAACAACTCTTGCACCACAAATTAAGTGAACTTTTCCCCACATTAGGCTGACTGCCTGGAAAATCACACGCTACCCATTCTGGTGAACTTGACTGGGCTGGTGGATTCGATTCAAGAGCTCTGTGAGTGGGGCCACTCAGTTGTCGTCTTGATACGAAAGTGGGTCTCTCGCTGAGGAATGGCTGCCAGGAGCCCCTCCTTATTCCCCCTTTCTGACTGTCCTGGAGTGTTCTCTGACTTTAGCCATTGGGGCCATAGGACAGGAGTTACAGCACCCAGTGAGGCTAAGTCAGGTCATCCTGGTTGTGTTCCAAGATATGATTACTCCATGGTGCCAAGAGCTCTGGCCAAAACTGGGGAATACACAAAAAACATAATGTCTCTCCCTGTGGATCTGACTGAGTACTTCTTAATGAGTTTTGGGTCATAACGACTCTCCCATTGTTCAATATGCAATACAGGTCCTGGACTGATCTTTATTTACTTTTGACCTGTGGTAATCGTGGCCTCTTAGCATTCCTCAGGACTTGCTTGTAGCAACCTTTTAGCTAATTTAATGGTTGGGTTGAGTTGCTTAGTACATTGGCTGTTTGGCTGTATTTCAGTTCTGATTCAATTTCTGAGTGAGTCGTTTGGAATCACCTTCTCAATTCAAGATCCATTTGTTGCATTTCTATTAAAGAAGATGGGCTCAGTATATCAGCCTCATTCTCTTTATCTTCATCTCTTTTACTTAAATTTTTGAAAATTATATCTGATAACTTTTTCCAAAGTACCTCCCTTATCATAGTCATCTATTCCTCCTGTCTAATGTTATGGGCCTGTATCCAGTCACAAAACAGGCAGGAAACAATCCAGGATGTTCCTCCTATGGCTCTGTTTCTTTTATCCCAATGGTGGTCCATCACCTTCAGTGAAGCCAATGCTTATGAACATGCCAGGTCATTTCTCATGATAAAATTAATTATTTTTAAAGGGATTTATTTCCCAACTCCAACTACAATGTCACCATTTACTAAGTCACGCTTTAATTCAACTGTTCGAATTAGTTTGTAATCTTCATGTATACCTCAAATTAATATTTTCTCCTTCGTTGACCCCTCTGGAAGACGTGTGGTATCATCAGCCAACATCAGTGACTAAAATAGAAATTGCTGGAAAAGGTCAGCAGGTCTGGCAGCATCTGTGGAGAGAAATGACAGTTAATGTTTGGGGTCGAGTGACCCAGCCTCAGAACTCAGAACAGAGTTCTGAGGCTAGGTCACTCGATCTGAAATTTTAGCTGTGATTTCTCTCCACAGATGCTGCCAGACCTGCTGAGCATTTCAAGCAATTTCTATTTCTGTTTCTGATTTGCAGCATCTGCAGTTCTTTCAGATTTTATTCAGCATCAGAGACTGACTTGCTCCTGTGTTTCTCAGTATCTTATTGGTCTACCACCTTGATTTGCAGTGTAAGGAACTACTTGCCCTTTTGAGGTTAAATATTCAATACCTCCAGTTTTCTGATTCTCTCAATATTCAAAGAAGAATTTTCTTGGTTGTCCAAAGTCATCACTTCATTCTTAGTGCATTCTAAGGAAATATGATTTCTTTTTCATATTTCCTTTCCCAATAGTCCCTTTCCTGAAGATTCGTTAGACATTCCGGTGACAACAATTGGTCTCCCATTTAACTTTCAGCAATGGACTTTAGTATGCTCAGTCTTATAAATGTGAAAGCATGTAACTTTTCCTGTATGGTTTTTATTTCAAGCTTTTCTGCTTTATTACTTTGTCCTTTTTTTTTCTCTCTAAAAATAATTCCTCTTCCATTTGAGGATTTTCCAGACCTCCACCTTCCTTGTGAATTCCCACATGATCATCTCCTCACCTGTAACTATCGGTGAGAGATATCATCAGTATCTATCAGAACTGCTGCTTCTCTGATCTTTGATACTTGACACTCACCTAAATTGGATTTAAAGCTTGCAGGTATCCTTTATCTGAATTCTTCCTGAATTATTTTCCATGACGTTCCAAAACTTTTGTGATTTCAATGACTGAACCATTGATCCCACAATTTTCCTTGAAAATTTTATAAATGTCAAGTTAGATTTATTTGTTGTGCTAGGTTTTAATTGATGAGCAAGAGCAAGTTCATAAGTATTGTATATTGCATTTTTAACTGTTTCATAATCTGCAGATTGTTCTTCTGATAAACATGCATAAGCATTCACAACTGTCGTTGGCAAAACACTTTGTAATGGTCACATCTAAGCATCTTTTAACCACTTTGTCTAACCAGCTACCTTTGCAAGTGAAATATCTTCTAACACCATTGAGTGTCTACACTTTACAGGACTCTGGTGGGAATGGATATTGAATACTGGGTCCAGTACATGATCACTGGGATAGGAGAAAAAAAGGGCAATAGAGAGAAGACATCACTATAGTTGGAATTATGATCTGAGCTACTACCTCTTCTTTCGTCCTTTAAGATTTTTTGTTGGCCAAATCATGTTATCTAATTTCTCATGGCTCTCTTGAGTTAATAGTTTTTAAATGTCATCTTCTTTCCTATTTCAAGCTTTCGTATTTCCAAGTCTCTCTCCTTTTTCATTTCCTGTTGTTTCTTCCTCTTTCTTTGCAATTTCTCTTCTGCTTTTCTTCCAGTTCTGTCTAAGGTTTTTTCATTTCTTTTTCTCTTTTTCATTTTGAACTGGATTGTAACTTCTTCTAGCTGTGACATCTTAATTTCAGGTGGCACCTTCTTCTGATTCTAAAGGTTAGATAATCAAGTTCGGTGTCTCTTCCTTACTAGATGAATATACAAGCAGGATAAGCTATTGAATCCTAGAATCCCTACAGTGTGGAAACAGGCCATTCAGCCTATCGAGTCCACTCCAACCGTCCGAAGAGTATTCTACCCAGAAACACCCCATCACGGTAACCCTGCATTTCCCATGGCCAATCTACCTAACCTGCACTTCTCTGGACTGTGGGAGGAAACCGGAGCACCCGGAGGAAACCCACACAGACACATGGAGAATGTACAAACTCCACACAGACAGTTGCCCAAGGGTGGAATTGAACCTGGGTCTCTGGCACTATGAAGCAGCAGTGCTAACCACTGAGCCACTATGCCGCCCATGTGTGGAACAGTGGCTCAGTGGTTAGCACTGCTGCCTCACAGCGCCAGGGACCTGGGTTCGATTCCACCCTCGGGCAACTGTCTGTGTGGAGTTTGTACATTCTCCCCGTGTCTGTGTGGGTTTCCTCCCACAGTCCAAAGATGTGCAGGTTACATGGATTGATCATGGGAAATGCAGGGCTACGGGGAAAGGGGAGGGGGATGGGTCTGGGTGGGATGCTCTTCAGAGGGACGGTGTGGATTTGTTAGGTCAAATGGCTTGTTACCACATGTAGGGATTCTATGAAATAGATCCTACTTTCTACCTTCAGTTTATCTGTTACATCTATCAATTTAGACTTTGTCAAACAATCCACTGTTATATGGGGTTCCAGATTTATGAATACTTGTACTTAGGAATGCGATCCCATACAGGGGTTTAATTTTAAAGATCCAACATACAAGCATTTCCTGTTCTTAGGTCTACTTTATATTGTCCTGCATTGTGTTCTGACTTGCGTACAAATCAACTTGCGAATGAATTGAAGAACGGAAACTATTTGTGAACTAGGAACTGCCTGTATGTCGTCTTCTCCCAGGAAACACTTAACAACATTCAAAGCCCTTTTCAAAATCCAATCCACGCAATTACCTCTACTGCAACACTCCTGTATTATGTTCAACACTTTCATTACTTGTTTCTTGAGCAGCAGAATAAATGCCTCTTAAGTGAACTCAAATCGCAGCAAGCACCTCCCCTTTTTGCAATCCCAGTTGATGCTACAAGTGGACACGTCAGATCCCAAAATGAAATCCAGTTTGATTGTTTTCTTTTATTTAGCATGGTCTTTCACTAAAACATAGGTCCACAGGCTACACGTTTTCTTTAAGGATAAAACAAGTTTATTCCAAATAAATCAAATCAAAGAAAAAGAAATCAAAATATCTGATTATACAACACTTCCAACGATCTTAAAACACGTGAAAAAGTCTCAACTATTTCCCAACATCATTACTTTTCAGTGATTCAGATCCAGAGAAATTATTCTTCTGTATGAAATCTTTAAGATTGCCTTCAGGGAAAGGGAGAGATGCAATGAGACCTGGGTATCCTTGTGCAACAGTTGCTGAAGGTAAGCGTACAGGTGCAATAGGTGATGTAGAAGACAAATGCTGTGTTGGCCTTCGTAGAGAGAAGGTTTGAGTACAGAAGCAGGGGTGTCGTTGCTGCATTTGTACATGGCATTGGGGAGACCACTTCTGGAGAATTATATGCAGTTTTGGTCTCCTTATCTGAGGAAGGATATCCTGGCTAAGGACAGAGTGCAACAAAGGTTTACCAGACTGATTCCTGTATGGCAGAACTGATTCTGATGATTATCTCGATTGGTTAGAATTATGTTCATTGGAGTTTAGGAGAATGAGGGGGCAATCTCATGGAAACCTATAAAAATCTTTACAGGACTAGACAGGGTAAACACAAGAAGGATGTTCCCAATGACCAGGAAATTCAGAACTGGAGCTCTCAGTCGAAGGATACAGGGTAGGCCATTTAGGACTTAGGTGAGGAAACATTTCTTCAGAGTGGTGAGCTTTCAGAATTTTCTGCTGCAGAAGAGATTGAGGTGAGAACATTGTTTTCAAGAAGGAATAATACTGTGCTTGAGGGTTAAATGGATCAAAGAATATTGGGAGAAATTTGGAACAGGATGGTCACATTGAATGGCAGAGCAAGCTCAAAGAGCTGAATAGCTTAATACTCCTATTTTCTGTGTTTCAATAACTGCACTTTGTTCAGTATGTTGCTATAGCTGAGTAGTCATTTGTGTTCCATAAGCTACGTTTTGCCTCACTGCCTTCACACTCTCTCTCCTGCTTTCCTACTGAGCAGTGCTAGTAAATTATGCATCTGGAGGTTTGTTAATTTTTGGTGATATTTCTGCTGGATTGCCCAGTTGTGTATCATGACTGTGACCTGCCAACTCTGCAACATATTGCTCACCCTGACCCACACCTCCATTCCAAGGAATTGCCACAGTCAGGATCTCCCCCGCCATTAGAATTGTGAAGGCACACATCTCTGGCTTTGTTCATCTCTGAATCAGAAGTTCTGGATGTCATGGCTTCAGGCATCTCCAGTAGGCAAGGGACAGCTTTAACGCAACCAACTAGTTCCTCTCTACCAAAGCTGTCTACCTCTTGTAATAGCCTGAAGAATTCTTCAGCACACCTCTATTTGGATCCTTTTATTTGTCAATAGTTGACATCTTAAAATTACTTAGATGGGATTTGGAACTTTAAGGTTTCTTCAGTCACCTTTGTGGGGGTTCACGTAGTACCTTGTGTTTGTTGATTTAAGAAGCATTTAACTCTTTAGAATCAAAGAATCCATACAATGTGGAAAGAGGCCATTCGGCCCATCAAGTCTGCACGAACCCTCCAAAGAGCATCCCATCTATACATAGGCCCTTACCCTATCCCTGTAACTCAGCATTTCCCATGGCTAATCCACCTAGCCTGCAGGTCATTTGACACTGCAGTCAATTTCCCCTGGCCAATCTACTTAAACCTGCACAGGAAACCCACACAGACAAAATTGAACCTGTGTCCCTGGTGCTGTGAGGCAGCAGTGTTAACCATGGAGCCACCACCCTTATGGATGTCTTTCAAAGTTTTCCCCTTTTCACCCTCAACCCAACCTGGGCTTTAGAGTCATGGAGTCATAGAGTTCTACAGCACAGAGACAGGCCTTTTGGCCCAAACTGGTACACGCCAACCAAAATGTCCATCCACGCTAATCCCATTACCCTGCACTTGGCCCATATCCTCCTAAACCTTTCCTATCCATGTATTTATCCAAATGCCTCTTAAATGTTGTTAATGTACCCGCCTCAACCACTTCTGCTGGTAGCCCATTCCATACGTGTACCACACTGTGTGTATAAAAAAAAAAGTTGTCCCTCAGGTTCCCATGTATTCTTTCCCCTCTTACTTTAAACTGATGCCCTCTAGTCCTCGAATCCCCAATCCCGGGAAAAAGACTTAAGGGCATCCCCCTATTCCTGCAGCTCATCATCTTACACACTTTCTATAAGATAGCCCTTCTCAGTCTCCTACGGTCTTAAAAAAATGTTGTAGCTTGTCCGACCTCTCCCTATAACTCAGTCCCTTGAGTCCTGGCAACGTCCTTGTAAATTTCTTCTGCACTCTTTCCAGTTTAATAACATCTTATCTATAGCGTAACCAAAACTGAACACAATATTCCAAGTGCAGCCTCACCAAATTCTTGTACGACTGCAACATAACTTCCCAACTTCTGTATATCATATTCCTCAGAATCTTCTCAAGTAACTTACCTACCACAGATGTTAAACTTACTGGTCTATAATTCCAAGGTTTTTCTTTGCAGCCTTTCTTGAATAAGGGCACAACGTTCGCTATCCTTCAGTCTTCCGGGACCTCACCCACAGCCAACGATGATGCAAATATATCAGCCAGGGTCCCCACCCACGATTTTGTCTCTAGCCTTTTGCAGGGTTCTTGGATATATCTGATCAGGACCAGGAGATTTATCCACCTTCATACATTCTAATACTTTCAACACCACCTCTACTGTGATATGGACTGTCCCCAAGATATCGCCAGTAACTTCCCCAAGTTCCCAAATCTTCATGTCCTACTCCACAGTAAACACAGCAGAGAAATATTCATTGAGGACCTTGTCCATCTCCTGCGGTTCCACACATACTTGTCCACTTTGGTCCTTGAGGGGTTCTATTCTCTCTCTAGTTATTCTTTTTTCTATTAATTTATTTAAAGAATCTCTTCGGATTCACCCTAATCTTCTCGGCCAAAGCTATCTCATGCCCCCTTTTCACCCTCCTGATTTCCTTCTTCACTAAACTCCTGTATCCCCTATGTACTTCCAGGGATTCCCTTGATCCCAGCTGTCTGCTGCTGAGCCATGCCTCCACTTTTTTTATGGTCAAAGCTTCAATATTTCTTGCCATCCAGGGTTCAGTACTCCTGTCAACCTTGTCTTTCACCCTCACAGGAACATATGGACCATGAACTCTAGCTGTCATGCTTTTAAGGGCCTCCCACATGCCAGAGGTCTCTTTGCCTACAAACAAACTATTCCAATCAACCCCTGCAAGCTCATGCCTAATTCCATCAGAATTCACCTTGCCCCAATTTAGAACTTGAACCTGTGGACCAGTTTTGTCCCTCTGCATAACTATTTTAAAATTAATAGGACTATGGTCACTGGTCCCAAAGTGCTCACCCCGTCCCTCAGTCACTTGTCCTGCCCTATTTCCCAAGGGTAGGTCGAGTTTTGCCCCTTCCCGAGTAGGACCCTTTATATACTGCTTGAGGAAACTTTCCTGAGCACATCTAACGGATGGGATAGAATTTGTTAACACTATGGCAGTCCTAGTCTATGTTAGGAAAATTAAAATCCCCCACTATGACAACCCTATTGCTCCTGCAAGTCTCCCTAGAATCCCTGCACATTTGTTCCAGTCGACTATTTGGGGGCCTACAGTACAACCCCAATAACGTCACCATCCCTTTCTTATTTCTTAGCTCCATCCACAAACCCTCACTGGATGATCCCTCAGTTATTTCATCTCTGACTACTGCTGTGATACTCCCCTTAATCAAAAAGGCAACTCCCCTCCTCTCTTTCCTCCACCTCTGTCCTGCCTAAAGCATAATGCCCGGGCACATTAAACTGCTACTCCAGTCCCTCCCTTAGCCGTGCTTCTGTAATGGCTATAATATCCCAGCCCCATGTACCTATCCACACCCTCAGTTCATCAGCCTTACCCGTCAGCCCTCTTGCATTGAAATAGATGCAATTTAATCTAACAGGCATTCCTCGCTCCCTGTCCTATTCCAGCCTGACCTGTCTCTTCAACTTGCCTATTCTGATTTTTCTATTTCCTTCCAGCCTGACACTTGCCTCCCTGCTGTTGAGGATCCCACCCCTCACCAGTCTAGTTTAAACCATCCCCTGTAGCACTAGCAAATCTGTGCTTTCTATGTGCTTCCCACTGACCCCCACCCCATTCCCCTCATGGCAGCTTCCTGTATTCTGTTCCCCCACTAGGGGTTTTTATACACAATTTATCATCCCTTGTAACCCTTACTGAAATATTCTATACCCAGATTCCCATTACAACCCACACTCCTCCCCCACCCCCCCACACTTACGGACAGATAATGTATTTGGTACAAGTACATTGTTGGATTGAATGCAGCCAGCGGTCTGAGCTGTTGCTGCATCTAGGCAGTTGACACTCACTCGTGTTATCATTTATTGTTGCAGGTGAGTAACAGTTCCGGAGAGACCCTGGGTGCTGACAGTGATTACAGCAGTGCTGCTGGAGAAAGTGTGACAGTCAAAAATACCCTGGGGGTAGCAACATCCAGAGGAACGCTCTCTGATAGCGAGATCGAGACTAACGCTGATACCAGACACATCTTCGTAAGTCTCCCGACATGCTCACCCACAGCGACAAATGGGAACAGTGTGTTTACCCCTCCGTCCCTGGGTGCAGGATGATATTACTGAGTCTGGAATAGGTTAGCTGACAACTGAGAAGCACCTGCTCTATTCCCAGAAGAAGTCGTACCAAACCCCAGAGAATGAGAGATTGGGGTGGGGGCTGTCCGAGGGGAGAGGGGACTAAAGGTGGGGGCTGACCAAGGCGAGAGGAGTTGGTCAGGATGGGAGATAGAGGGTTTCCCTGGAAGACCCTGTCATCTCTGTCAGAGGGGAGAGGGTGTAATGTGCGCTCGAAACTGATGTCTCCCAGAATGAGTAGAGCAGGCAGAATGAGCAGTGGTGGGGAGTCTGGGGATTGTAAGATTGATGCTTAGTCAGTGTGTGTACAGGGACTGACAGTGAAAAGTTCAGTGCTGACAGTGTTCTCTATAACAGGGGAAACCACACATGCTGGCAGCTGGCTTCAAGGCTGCGAAAGGTGGCAGTGCCTATGCCCAGGCTCCCAGCCCACCAGAGGACACCAGTCAGAGGGTTTACCTCTTTGAGGGACTGTTGGGTAAGAACAGAAACAAAGTCTGTCTTTTTTGTTTGAAGTTGATTTGTGAGTGCAGAATGAAGAGTGACTTGCACCAGCTCTTTATCTTAGAACCCACAACTCTTCCTATGGCACCAGCCATTGTTACAGTGCTCCCTCACCCCTTTAGATGGGGAGACCACCACACAGTTTGTACATGAAAAGGGGACATCATGAAGTTTGGTGTCGGGAGGAAATCACTGCATGGCCAATGTGTTGAATTGCTTCTGTAAGAGTACTGAAGTGTGTGTGTGGTGCACTGTGTGTGCTCTCTTTCTCTGTGTAGTGGTGGTGGTTCCCTGTCCCTCTCCCTCTCCTTCTCCCTCTCTCTCTCTCCCTCTTTCCCTCTCTCCCTCCCTCTCTCCCCCC